GGTCACTTCGAATCTTTCGCAGCGTTTGCAGCAGGTGCAGCAACGCAATGATCCCAGCCATGTTGGCAGCGTGCAAATGCACTCGCTGGCCTCACAGAACCAACAGCAGCAGCAACAACAACAGCAGCAACAACAACAGCAGCAACAACAACAACAACAGCAGCAGCAGCAACAACAACAACAGCAGCAGCAACAACAACAACAACAACAACAGCAGCAGCAACAACAACAACAACAGCAGCAGCAGCAACAGTTGCATCTGGCACAACAGCAACAGCAGCAGCAGTTGCCGGCGGAGCAGCGCAATGGGCCCAAGCGCTACTCCAGTCTGAGACGCAGCCAGCATGAGGCCACACAACAGCAACAGCATTTGGCAGAGCAGCAGCAAATGCAGCAACAATTGCAGCTGCAGCAGCAGCAGCAACAACAATCACAGTTAATGCTCCAAGATCCACATATGCTCATGCAGATTGCCTACCAGCAGCAGGAGCTGCAGGCACAGCTGCAAACGCTGCAATTGGGTCCTGCACCGCCGACAGCGGTGCCAGCGCCACAGTCCAAACAGCTTGCACCGCCAGCAGCTGCATATCCACAGACCCAGGGGGCACCTTACTATGTGACCAGCGGGGAACCTGTGCCGGTACCGGTGTCCGTGCCTGTGCCCGTATCGGTGCCCGTGCCGGTTGCAGTGCCCCAAGCGCCCTATGTTAATCCGGCCAATGCCGCCTATCTGCCACCCACGCCGGCGGCTGTGGCCTATGCACAGGCACAATCCCAGGCAGCCACAGGACCTCCACAGCCAGCGCCACAGGCTGCACAGCCAGCCACACAAGCTGCACAGGCAGGGCCACCGTCCATAAACTATCACCAAAACTATAATACTGTTGGCGGCACTACATATTTTGTTCCGCCGGCACAGGCCACCACCCGCCCCGCTGTGCTGCCCCAGCGTCGACCTACCAATGCAATTCCCATACTACCGCCATCTGAGAAGCACAAGACGCGCAACGCCAAGCCGGATGAGGGGGCCAGTGGCAGCGGCAGCGGCGACAATATAGACCACATCATTGACAACATGTTTGTGCAGCGTCCGGCCTTCCAGCCGCCGCCGGCCACAGCTGGCGTGGAGGCACCAACAGCCAAACCAACAGCTAGCGAAGAAACCAATAGCAGCAATGCAGCCATTGCACAGCCAACGGCAGCCGCCGAGCAGAACCATCAGGCGGTTGCAGTGCCTGGGCAGGAATGAGTGCACGTCTTTGCCAATCCGCGACAGCAGCAGCGACGCGTACGCAGCCACACGGGCGAACTGATGTCCAGTGGCTATGCCATGCTGCCGCCTCAGGTTGGCTATTATCGCGCTCACTAGGAAGTGGCTCGAAAACTGAAATTTTTACGAGATTGTTTCTTATTGCGGCAGGGTCTGTGACTCTTCCTCAACCCCTCTCCCCCTTTTATAGAGCATTAGAGCAGTGCACACACACACACAACACAACACACATTTGTATTTAGCGAATAGCTGCACCTAATCGAACTTACGTCGATCCGACCTATTGTATGCATACACACCCAGAGTTCAGCGTAAGGCTTCCCAAGCAATCCGTATATATACCATATATACATATATCTAGTAATCGGGCGCAGCGATCCGGCTGCAGCTCCTTTAGCAAGTATAATGAATTTTAAACCAGAGTCATGTCGCTGGCGCTTATAATCTAATTACGTAAACATATAGTCGCATTTTGAAGTTGGATTAATCGTGAATTGTAATTAATCATTGGACATTTGAATTTCAATAAACGTTGTAACACGCAAAACCCCTAAAACAAATCTCTACTTTTGCTTAAATTCGGGATCCGGTAGAAAGATCAGCTATGCCTAGGACGCCAGAGATTAAATACCCTTGACATATGGCTCACGGCTTTACCAAATAAGCGAAAAGAATTGTAAAGCTTGCAATAACGGAGCTTGGCCGTACAAAATTGCACTTGACCGATTCTATCCATAGACTTATATAATATAGAATTTATAAACAAGGGTATTAAAAGAAGCGTATTTAAAACGTATCGATTATAAGAATATATTTAATCTTAAACCTTTCTTTTTCACTGACAGCAGTGCCAAGAAATGAAACCAAAGAGTTCATCAAGATTTATGTGACTAAGTCTATGGGCAGCTCCTCATATGTGGAGGAAGGCAAGAAACATCTGATCCAATTCCACATGGAATGCATTGAAATTGGATATTGACTTATAAGGAAATGCGCAAACTAGAGATTGTGCACAATTTACAAGTTGGATTCAATTTTCTGCTGCTCCAAGAGTCGGCGAATGCGACGGAAGGACTCGAAAAAAATGGCATTGTATTTGCGTGCGCTGGTCTTGATGCTGTCGCGATAGGCAGTCGAGTTTATGTAGATTCTGCAAGATAAAAAGAGTTATAATATTCCGAAAGATAACATGACAGCTTTGGAACTCACGCATCTGAGGTAATTGCATAGAAGACACCATAGCCATCCAGAGTCATGGGCGCCACAAAACCCACATTAGGCGTAAAGCCCAGAGTGCTGGAGGAAAGCACAAAATTGCCTCCGCCGCCGGATTTGGCATATAGCGGATCATCATAGAAAGCGGGTATGTTCAATTTATTCTCAAAGGCAACGCACCACAGCCCAAAAAGATGTCTATCAATGCCATTACCCTTGCGTGCCTCGTCCATTTGATATCTGTGATCATTGACAGCGGCACGAAACGCTTGAAGGAGCTGCTCATCCGTGGTGCTACTGCTGTCGGAGGCCTTAAGGAACTCATATACGTCATTGGTGCAGGAACGTAGCGTTTCCGTGCGTCCATTGTAATAATGGCGCATCAACGCCGTCTCATAGGTGGGCGCAATCCTTTCGGATATGTAAATATTAATACAAATTATAGTAGAATGGATTCAATGGCTTACTCATGGTGCATCTGGTAGTAGGCCCACTGCATGAGCACCTGCACAAAGGAATCGGGATGTAGCTTCTGGCTCTTCATAAATTCTTTGCCGTAATCATCGAACACTTCAAATGTAGCGGTGACATCGATGCCCTAAAAAGAATGGAAAATTTCTTAGATTGGAACAAAATTTGCAAACGTTTGGACTAACCCGCTTCTCAACCTCGTCGAGCACACGTTTAATCTCTGATTTGAGCGTGTCATCTAGCTCGAATTTAAGCTCTTGTATATCCACCAGCTTCGTATCCTTCACTTCACTCCAGTCCGGCTCGGGCACCTCCAGAAAACTGAGCTGCATAAATGTGGCAAAGCTGGCGCTGATTGTTCCATCATAACAGCTGTGCTCGCCCGTATACACATAGTGACCATTCTTGAAGGCGATCATGCAGCTGCTGCGGTCCGCCCAGCGCGAATGATAGTCGCCATATATGCTCAACTGTGACGATTCCTCCGTATTTTGAGGTTGATGCTCATCCCAACAAATGCTTATGTTCGAGCTTTCCACCAGCTTTAGAGTCTGCTTATTGGTCTCCGAAATGCTCATCAGGTGTTTGCGATTCTTGGCCCAGCTGGTGCGATCGTCATGGGTTAGCGCTGGGACGCCATCACCCTCCGGCTCATAGTCTAGGATGCTGCGTAGGCGCTGCAGGGCAACCAATATCTCTGGCGCCGTCAGAATGGTGTCATCGTCGTGGACACAATTGAAGGAAAACTGCCGACCCTTGCCGGTGATTATCAGATGAGTGGGTGTGCGTCCCTCCGATTTGGTTAGGAAATGCTTCTCAATATGATCTTGTTCCTCGCCTGGCACGCGCGAAGTGGAATAGAATTGCTTGTACAATGCTGACGAGTACTTTATCTTGCCGCCGTTCGAGGAGAGTGGCTTAATCGTTTCACTACGCACCAAATCCCAGAACTCCAGCGTGTGATGGATTTGACGAGCGAGGCTCTGAAATAAATGATTACAATTGTGTTGAACAAATAGTTCCGAACTTTACCCAACTCCAAACAAATACTCAATATTTTATCAGCAACGGACTACTGATAGTATATGATAATCCAGGTCGAATTGGAACAATCTAATTTTTTTGTTCCTAAATGTTCCTTATTGTTAGATAAAATTAACCTTATTTTGATCAATTTTGTCCTTTTGGAACAATTATTTTTTTATAGAAATGTCAGGTTTGCGCCTGGGGCTCACCTTAAGCATGTAGTCGGGCCGCTCGGGCACGCCCACATGTATCAGCTGGCAGGGCATCGACATAATCTGGTAGGGCAAGAGTGGCAGACGCAGCATGTGATAGCCGTAATCCTCCCACCAGCTGCCTAGCCAGTTTTTCATTTTGGCCGCACGCTCCTTGAGCTTTGCCTGCAGCTCAGCTCCAATTCCATTTGCAAACTCATCGATAATGCGACGCGAATTGGCCAGCTCCTCGGGCGTGCCAAAGGGCTGCAGGCCGGCATAGTAACGCTTCATGGTATCCCGCAGCTCCGGCAGTGGCAGTGCCGGCAGCGTATCATCAAAGCTGAAGGTGCTCTCATTTTTGCCACCGACAAATAGGCTTGCACGATCCATAATGAAAGCTCCTGCAAAAGTTGTTTAGTCCGTGTTAATTAGGTTAATAAAGCACTATAAATAAGCCGTATAGCATTACACAGCATATCTACAGGTGGGCTCCAGATAAGCAGCCGCTGATAAGCAGTAAAAACATTTTCCATTTTTATTTACGCTTGGTCCAAAGTACCAAAGTCAAGTGCCCGACAGAAGACGGCCAAAGGTCGTAAACGAAACACACACACACACAGATAAATATACATATATATCGTCATATGTTTATGTGTTTTAACTTAGTTAGAGTGGATGCTGCAGCACACCTTTCTCATTTTGCTGTGTATTTATTGCCATTTTTTTTGTACTAACCTTTGCGGGTATCCAATTGCTGAAAGCGCCAACTGTTGCGCTGTCTGTCCGCTGAATGACTAAACGCCTCGATGTTAGACACAAGCCCCAGCAAAGTTCGGTGGGCGTGGTGTCGAGCACACTAGTTAGTGTGCGTCAGTCGCGCAGACTGAGCTGCTTTGATAAAGCGACGATCGATAAGAGTGGTTGAATGAACGCGTACACAATAGAACTGGACAATCACACATGTAAATAGGCGATTCTAAAGCGTAATGGCACAATCCGATTTATTTTAATTCATTTGCATTCTTAGAATGCAAGCGAAAATAAATTTTAAACATGGCTCCATCACGTAGCACACTGAACTGTGACGTCACGAGTGATTGCTTTTGAGAGATTGGTTGGACTTTGTACCGGCACCCGCGCACTTGCACGCTGTGCTAGCGTTGTGCTGGCTATCGTGACTTCTCTCGTGACACGAACACGAATTAATACGATGCCTTTTAGTAAGAAAACACCGAGTTTTAAGAAATACAAGGATTAGAAATAAAGTTTAATTATGAACTTAACTAAATTAGACAAATTAAACAGTTTATTTACACATATATTATTACATTTTAAGAGAAGGTTGAAATTTATTAAAAACTGTAGATGTCGCTCAGCAATTTGTTGTACGTAAAAAATTATGACATAACATAACATTATGTAAAAAATATATACATATGTATATTATATAGTGAAAAAATGTGCATGTAGCGCGTGGGTCGCGAACGCGTCGGGCCGTGCTAGAAAATGGAGTAATGCAGCCATCTCTATTTCCTCCCAATTTTTGAGGAAATTCAAAACACATCATTGATAAAAACTAATAAAAGTATTTAAATATGTATGTGAATACTGATCATGAGTGCCTGCATTGTGGTACTTCAAAAACTAGTGGGTTTAGTCAATTAGCAATAGAACTCTGTACTGCCTGTAACAAATGCACGCATTAGTAAGTTTCCAAATATTTATTTAATCTTTTTATTGTTGTAGTGCGAGTCCTTACCTAGTGCAACTCTACAACTAAGTTTCACTTTGAAGGAACTTGTCAGTATTGATAAGATTTTAGATTGCTGTCATATTTTCTATTGGGTGCTGGTTATTTTTGTTTATGTGGTCAGCTGTAATGACAGAGTTGCCACACTTGCGAAAGCCTGGCAACGCCGTGCTTCTCGATTCGCAAAACATCTGGCATTAATTTCATGAAATGAGCAAATACACAGAACGGAATAAATAGAACAATATATTTTCTACAACGCTTGCTTAATAAAGCTGCGATTTCTAACTAAGCGCAAGCGGCCGAAAAATGTTACCATCGACGGGTCTTTTCAAGAGCTTTGCTTGTCCGTACTACAGCAGCACCGTCAGCGGTAATAAAGACAGCAACGGCGAAGCGTCCTTCAACTGCAAACGTCCTTTCTGCCATTTCAAACATATACGCAAGGGTGAGTGTGTGTGTCTGAAGATTCCAAGTTATGCAAACGCCTAACGCCAGTTGCTTGCAGACGATGTGGAAACTACGCAGTCAGCAGATGCGGTGCCGGAGTACAAGCCAGCGCCGGTGCCCAAATTGCTCTCCCTGCCGCTGCCTGAAATGGCGATGTGTGCGCCCAAAAAGAAGCCAAATCTGGAATATCACCCAGAGAAGCCGGCACTAAACGCCTCTCCGGCCAAAAAACGTTATGACGAGGTGGCCAGCGCACCCAAATACGTACCCTCAGCGGTGGTAGGCACGAATGGTGCAGGCGGCGATTGGCCAGAACATGATAAAGAGGAAGTGGCGGAGGATGAGGATGAATTGCCTGAAACAAATACTGAAGTAAAGCTAGAGCAGCAAGTAGCTAGCGAGGAGGCGCCAAACATTAACAGCGAACAGAAACCGTCGTCCAGTGCCCGCAGCGAGAGTCGCAAACATGAGCACAAACCTAGCAAGGAACGCAGGAGCTCATCGCACAAAGATAAAGAACGCTCTGAACGTCGTAGTTCCAGCTCCAAGCAGAAATCCTCCACATCCTCGTCACACAGAAAGTCAACCAGCAGCGATAGACATCGTAGTGAGAAGAGTTCCGTCAACAAGGATAGAAGCAGCACATCTAAATCCACAACGTCGTCATCATCATCCTCTCGAAGCCGCCAGCACAGTAGTTCCAGTTCAAAATCAACATCGCGCAGCTCGGGCAGTTCCAAATCCAAAAGCGCCTCCTCCTCTACCTCTAGTAGAAGCAAAGACAAAGCAGAAACAGAATCAACAACGACCACGGCTACGGCAACAGCAACAGCAACTGCTGTTCCCACCAAGGTCGCAGTTAAGCCCGCCGAAGACTTTGTAATGGATGAAATGGATTTTGATGCCTCCGATGCGGAGATTGTGCGCCAGTGTGAAATGATATTCGATGAATTGGAACAGGAGTTTGCGCAACTACACAAGCCGGAGGAGACGAGTGCGGAGAGCATACGGAAACGCAAAGCACCATCGCCGGATATTGATGCCTACACTGAAGCAGCCACAGCTGCATTACAGAAGCGTCGCGTGGCCCACGAGAATGCGGACAAGTGCAAGCCACAAGCGCCAATGGCGGTGCACAAGCCCAATCATATACGCAACGCCATGCAGGCTATATTTGATAGGCGTGCCGAGCTGCGTCGCCAGGAAAAGCTGCGCGCCGAGGCAGATGCCGAGCAGTTGCGCCAGGCGCAGGAGCGTGTGCGTGTCGCCCAGGAGGAGCTGCGCGAAGCCAGGGCCAAAACCCTAACACCACTCATCTCGCGTAGCGCACTGACACCACCAACACGCACAGGTGGGTTAACTACACCGAATCTCCTTTTAGTACCCTTGCGGAGGCTATGCTAATCCCGCTGCGACTTGCTTAATGTCTTTATTTAGAGGACATATGCTAACTTATTAAGTAATGTATTCATCAGGGCTTTGGACCATCTTTCTGCCTGAAGGTACTGTTTTTGTACCTGAATTTCGACAACCATAAACTTGGTTTTCGCGGGCTTGATTTGACCCCTATCTATAATGAGCAGCTACCAAATATACTCCTCTATGGTTTGGGGCTCAGTCTAAATAGCTTAATTTCTTGAACCAAACTAATTTTGAAAAATATGCGGTCGATTCGGGTTTCAGTTCGGTTGTTTTTTGTGCAACTAGCTTGGGTTAAGTTTCAGTTTACATTAAAAACCAATTTGAAATTATAAGTTTGAAACGGTTCGGTTCAAAATAGGGTTGTAACCTTTTTATAAATATGTTTCAAATCAATATCAATATGCGATAAAGCTAGAGAGTTTTTGTTCAACAAGCTTTAAGTCCACATATAGCACAGTTGCTATTTGTCTGCAAGGGTACTTAATTTTCGGTTCAAGCAAGAGATAAATTTGTGTTTCCTTATGTTTCACATGCTAATGCTACTCTCAATTCAAACAGCACGCACCATCGCGCCCGTGGCCAACGTGATAGCCATAGCACGTGCTAAGAAGAAGATCGAGGAGCTGCAGGCCGAAAAGAAGCCCGCCTTTACGGCAGCCCAAACTTTCAAAGGTGGCAGCCGTTTGGCGCATAAGCCAACAGCGGCACTGGACAAAGTGGCACCTGCAACGGCTGCCGCAGCCGCAAAGCCGCCGGTACTGGAGCCGCAAAGCTCCAAAATATCCTATAATATACGCATGCAGTATTACGAGATGATGGTGAAGCAATGCACCGTCATATATCCACAGCTGGCTGATGCCTGGGAGCGCGCGCAGGTCGAAGAGCTGGCCGTGTTTAAAAAGTGCAGTACGCCGACCATTTATAAGAACAGCTGCATGCTGGCCATTAATAAGTTGCGCAAGGAAGCCATCGAGGCGGGCAATCAGCCCGGCGTGGCCAACAAGACTGTCTCGCACGAGATGATGCTGGGCGGCAAGCGTGCGCTCAATACATCCTGGAGTGTGGAAAAGAAGGAGTAGGTCGCTTACACGCATATCATTCATCTTATTAATCGCTCGCTCTTTTTTTTTTTTTTAGCAAATGGAGCACCTCGGCGGAGCCTTTCGATACGCTGAGCGCCGAGAAGGCCTACGAATTGGTATACGATCTGCATCTGACTGATGAGCAACTGGTGGAGAACGGCTATCCGCGGCCGGGCCCGGCACGCGGCACAGCTGTCATACGCGCCTGCCGACCCAATCGCCGACCCAACGAGACTGAACGCTACTGCACGCGCTGTGGCAAGGTCTTCAACCTGAGCATATATGAGACCAAGTGCACCGACATGTGCAACTATCATCCAAAAAGCACAGGCTATCGGCGTGGCTTCGCAGACAATCAGCATCGCTGTTGCCAGCAGCCGGCGGGTACGCCTGGCTGCAGTTATGCCAACTATCATGTCAGCGACTACTATGATCCGGACAAACTGACCTGCTTTATAAAGACCATCGAGCGTTCGGACGATTATGTGCCCACCAAAAAGGATATCTACGCGCTCGATTGTGAAATGTGCTACACTACGCACGGTATCGAGCTGACGCGTGTGACCGTTGTGGACATTAATGGACGCAGCGTTTACGATGCTCTGGTCAAGCCGGACAATCAAATTGTGGACTATAATACCGTGTAAGTATAGCTCTGTTATGGCTGTAAGTATTCTTAATTATTACTAATCATATTCACGACAGCTTTTCGGGCATTACGGAGACAATGCTGTCGAAGGAGACACGCACGCTACGCGATGTGCAGGCCGTGCTTATGTCAATGTTTCATGCCAAGACGGTGCTGGTGGGTCACAGCTTGGAGAGCGATTTAAAGGCTTTAAAGCTAATACACGATGTGGTCGTCGACACATCCATACTCTTTCCCCACAAAATGGGTCCGCCCAAGAAGCGAGCACTCAAAACGCTTTGCATTGAAAATCTAAAGCGCATTATACAAGAAAATGGTAAATACACGACCAGTAGAAACTGCACTTTATTACAATCTAATCTTTTTGCCTTGCAGAGGCTGGCCACGATAGCGCTGAGGATGCGGAGGTCTGCATACAGCTTATCAAATACTACTTGCGCAACAAGATAAGTTGAGCGCCAGGTGGAGCAATTATTAATGGGATTGGGTGCGACACTTTTCAAGTTCATCAATGCAGGCGCATTACATACATTTGTAATATGTAAGCGGCGTTACCGCCAATTTAAACCCAGTTCACACCCATATCCACATTTGGAATCAAAACGTATCCCATAAGTGAGCCTTAAGATCGAAAAAACAAATATTTATATATATTAATTAAACAATAAGATATTAAAGCTAAATGCTTTGCATATTATTTGTTTCTCTATAAGCCCTTACATAGCTTCCAAATGCGTTCGAATTCCAATTCCAGTCGCTTGGCTATCCTGGGCGCGCTGGTAATGAGGAAATCATCACAGCTTCTGGGCAGCGATATCCAGTTCATGGAGCCGGTCATGCATACGGTTAATGCCGAAGTTTTGTCAACAAGAATCGAACGCTTCGCAATGTAGCCATCGATGATGCAGAATTTGTGATGCATTGTCATCTCCCTTGGTTGTTTTATCACCGGCGTTAGTCTGCGTAGCGATATGCAATCTCCGTATTTGGTTTTCAATGATTGATAGTTCTTGAAACAAATCAAGCGGACTCGTACTCCCCGCTCAGTGGCGCGACGTAGCGCCGAGCCAATGGCAAACGAATCCATGACATAGATGGCAATGTCAATGGTATACTTCGCCCGATCCATGTGCACGATTATGCGTTCCAGTTGCTTCCAAATGCAATTGATTTCATCGCATTTTGAGCTTGGCATCTGATGCATCACAAAACAGTTCCGGAAGTACTGAAACGAAATGAAGGCGATCTGATTCACTTTCTGCCCGACGCGATCATTCCCTCGCTCCCTCTTCAGTTTCGCGTAGTGTGCCGACAGCTGAAATGGCTTGGCCCAGAAAAGCTTTATGAACTTGATTAAATAATATAACATTTTCGCTTGACAACGGTATCGGTGTAGTGCTGCCCGTAGTCTAAAGACATTCAGTGTTCGATATCGAAATGCAATAACAGTGCTGCCAATTTTTTGTTGTAGCTTGTGGAGTTGTAGTGCCACCACATTCAATGCAGTGGCATTGCCAGCAATAAATGATATTTTAAAATCTAAATTTAATAAGTTTAACAATTAATAAATTGTCTTTAATAAATTATCTCTGATTTCAACAAGTACAAATATATCTAATCACAATCAACAACAGTTCGTTTGTCTGTACCTTATTTACAAGCTGTATTTATGTAACTTGTCATTTATCTAACCCTTTGGAAACGGCTAAAAAGGGAATAATGTATTGGTGGTAATGTATGTAACAGGCGGAAGGATGCATCTCCGACCCCATACAGTATATATATTCTTGATCTGCATCAATAGCCGAGTCGATCTAGCCATGTCCGTCTGTACGTCCGTCCGTCCTTCCGTCCGCCCGTCCGTCCGTCCGTCCGTATATATGAACGCAAGGATATCAGAAGCTAGAGACTTGAAATTTGGTATGAAGGTCCTTCTAGTGCCCGCGCACTACGAGTTTGTTTCCGATAATCGATGACTTGTCCCGTTTCCAAGTAATCGATAAAAACGACATCGATCCTGTTTTTTAAGGAAATTTGGTAAATAATAAGAGCTTGAGTCACCAAACCTGACATGTATCTTCTAGAATAGTATATATATATCAAATATCTTTCATTTTATAGTTATCACCATCTCCCAGCTACTGCCTCATAGCTTTAAATCAAGTAAATAAAGCAATTTATGCTGCCCACCAATATAAACCACAATTTAAATGCAATTGACTTTTTGAATACAAATATATATAATACACATACATTCTATGGTACAATATTTCATTAAAATCGGTTAAGAAACACAAAAGTTATTAAAGAAAACGTGCAAATTGCAAGAATTTCTATATACATGTACACACCCACATTCCTGCGAATCTTTGAATTCTATCAACAGTATTGAAATTGCGATTGTATTGTTTTCTGTGCTGCTATTTTCTTTTTTTTTCTCACTAAGACTCAATTGTTGGTGTGGATGTTGATTAGAGGCGGCGGCAAGTAATGCGGTCTTTTGCGAATTCGAACCCTACCGTCGAAACTATTTTTATAAGCTGAACTTATTAAAAATGGGTAAAAAGGTTATTATGTATTTTTTCTTTATTAATTTATTTTTATTACTGCTGAAGCATATGAGGGCGTAGCGCGAGCTGCTTTTGGTTTTGGTAGATAAGGGTTCAGGGTATTTCCTAGTCGGCAGTTCCCGACTAGAGCCTCTTACTTGTTTGTTATTGGCAGTATAAGATTATATCATATATATAAGTTGGAGATAACTAAGTTAAGAAGCTTTTTAGTACCAGTTAATCAAAAATTATGTTTTTTTCTAGAAACCTTTAAGTTTTTCAGAAAATCTTACGCAATCCAAGCACAAGGACTTTTAAGATTCAACGACAAACTTTACTCTGCTTTTAATATATGAGCAAAATTTGTATAGGCTTTTTTTAATATTTTATGTATCTTCAAGGGTATTCAAGGTGCCACATGCCGAAATAAACGAATCTTTTCGTTTTTTTGTAAATAACTTTACAGCATAATTTGTTTTTTTTTTTATGCGTAACTTTACAGTATGATTTGTAAAAGTTTGCTTTTGTCACCGTCCGAAATAGACTAGCGGAATATTTTAATTAATCCGTGGCAAATATTTTAATTGTTTTTATGGTCACAATTCGCTGACAGCTCGACATTTCTATCAGCAGAATTCGAGCATAGTTTTTAAGTCTTGCTTCCAGCAATATCGATGGCTAAAATGCGTGCACAATTGAAAAGTTAAACATAAAAAAACACCTTAGCTTTACAGGTGTCACAAAAAAGTACATAAATTGCAAGTTTTGAAACTTTTTGTAATGTTGTTGCCTGTTACCTTACCACAAAGACCTGTTGTTTCTGTTATTATTTTAAATGTAATTTTAATCAGATTGCCGCCGTACTTCATATTTTTCAATTATACGCGCAGCGGCTGTTGCCAACGCCAGCGGCAACAGCTGCTCACAATTTGTTGTTGCCTTTGTTGTTGTAATTGTTATACAAGTATTTGCATGGTGTGGTTTTTCAATTTTACCGTTACGCAATTTCAGTTTCATTAAAGAACGCACCAAAAGTTTTTCCGTATTGAACTTTTTCTGCGTGAAATTCTATTAGTTAAAAATAAAAAAAGAGAAAAACAAGTAAGAGGGATGAAGAGAGCATGCCGAAGTTTAAATGCCCTTGTAGACGTGAGGCTTAGATATGCTTTTCGAAAGAAATGGTAGTTCAATTTGATCTGGTTTTGCAGATATATTCACCTGTTATGGTCAATACCGTAATTGTTGAGTCAGGTGAAAAGATCTGGAAAAACAGAAAAGTAGCTTGTTATAAATTATTACATATAACAAAATATAAAAACTAATATATTTTTACCAATTTTTTCTGCAGAGTTTTATTATATTCAAGTGTCTGATTGATTATAACCGTCATACAATTTTTAAAAATTTTGATTATGTTAATTTTGTGGGTTGCGACACGACCATTTCACCAATGGAAATGTACAATTAGGCTCATTACTTTTTTTTCATTATAGAAATTCTCCAATTTAGGAAAAATTTAATTTGTTTTTATGAAAAATAATTTTAACTGCAGATCTTAATCAATATTTCTTCTTAAATTATCATTCATTCCTATCAGTTCAGTTCCGTCAAAATTTCATACATTCATATGAAAGGAGCATAATGTAACTGATAAATGTCTATTCTGGCCAAGATATCTTGATAAGCAAAGAAGTTTTTTATACAACCAATTTTTCGAACGAGCAGCTGTAACATAAAGAGGTCTGATCCGGTTGGTTCCGACATATGTACTGACTGTTAAGCGGGCAGACTATATATACTTCATAAGTGCACATTTCGTCAGAAAACTATAATATCTCCGGCAAGGGTATACAACAACGAAGTACATGAAAAAATCTGGTAAAAGTTTTGTACTTTGCCGCAGTAATTCGCAATAATTGTTTCCGCCGGACAGGGATGGATGTCTGGGCTTTGGACAGGAAACGGACGGGCAGTCAACCAACCATGTGGCTAGCTGATGAATAGATATGGTTGCGGATTGGGATACACAGATATAGATGCATGTATCTAGTGGCCTGGGCAGGGGCTCGGTGCTCTACACGTAAACCTAACGAAATGTAAATAATATTAGTGGTACTTGACAATGACAATGTGCATATGTGGCCCAAAAACCTAAAGACCGCACACAGTGCAAACAAAACACACGCAAGTGCCGCTCGAGGGCTTCGGGCCAGGCACCAGGAGGAGCCCAAGGAGCCCAGGGGCTAGTGTGCAAAACAAACACAGGGCCCAAATACAAACACACACACAACCAAGAAGAAGCTAGAAAAACAAGGAGCGGCTGAGCATTGGGGCGGGCTGTAGGTGGGGGGCGTGTGGTGTAAGTCAGAGCTGCTTGACTTGTCCCTGTCACACATTGGGCGACCTGGCCAGGCGGAAGTATACTTAAGACCGTCGAAATAGAGGCATTAAGATCTTTACAGTTAATCCCTTGAGGAAATGTTTTGTGTGTGTGGTCGCGACGACAATGTTGTGCCAATGTGTGTGTATATTGCAGATAGTACATAGTGTATACACCGTAAAAAATGTTATTTTAAATAAAAAAAATTATCCTCTTATAAACTTTAACAAGTTGATATAATTTACAGCAACTTGTTGAATCTCACACTAATTTAATATAGTCTTAAAATAGTATTAAAATAGTAATTATTTAAACAGGTTGTGCGCCGAAGCCATTTTAGTCCGGAATTCCATTATTTCTTTTATTTTTTTACTGTATTGGATCAAAAATAGCATACATTTTTATTCCATTATTTCTATTTAGCACAAGCCGAACCTCAAGTCAGATAAATTGAACCGAATCACATTTTGCTTTAATTTTTATGCCCCTATAGAGTGCGTAGAAGAAGATGGCTAAAAACATAATTGCAAAGCTTTTGACACTGAACCCTTTAAAAAAGGGGTAAAAGTATATACTGGTTTAGTGTAAATGTATGTAACAGGCAGAAGGAAGCAACACCGACCCCATAACCCACATATATATATTCTTGATCTGCATCAATAGCCGAGTCGATCTAGCCATGTCCGTCTTCAAACCCCCACGGGGTACATGCCACGTTAAGCAAATAAGGACTTTCTGTCTGTTCATCTGTCCGTCCGTCCATCTGTCCGTCTGTCCTTGTATATACACGCGTGGATCTCAGACCCTAGTGGGGCAAGAGACTTGAAATTTGTATTAATTTAAAGTGCCGCGCAGTACGAGTTTGCTTCCGATAATCGATAACTTTCCCGTTTCCAAGCAATCTATAAAAATCGACATCTTAATCTTGATTTTTGGGCAAATATCTTAGGTTTTAAGAGCTAGTGTTGCCAAATTTGCCATTCCAAAAGAGAATATACCAAGCAAGTATCTATTATTTTATTGCTAGCTCTACCAAGATGATTCAGGGTATCCCCTAGACGACTAAAGCAACTTTTACTTGTTTTATTTTTGTTTTTAATTTTTTGTTAAGTTTAAAGGAGAGCGGAAAGGTAACAGATAAATCTGATGGATGAATAATAAAAATATCTGAAATACAACTAATAATTAGCTAAGCCGGTTAACTATGTGAAAAACCGGGGCTGTGTCCAGATCTTTTATAACGAAATTTTATTAAAGCATTTTTTTTGCCTAAAATGAGTTTTGACATGCAATGAAACAAATACCATGTTATATTCAAATTTAAGCTATTTTCAAATATAAATATTTAAGATTTAAAAACGAGTTGAATTTTTTAAATTATTTATTTTTTTACTGTGTACATAGTTGTTGTTGTTCTTAGCATTGAAAAAAGGCTTAAAAGCATGCCTACAATCATTTTTGGGGC